TGTTAAATACAATCATTTTTTTCTAGAAAATTAATAAATAAATTCAAATAAAAAGAAAAAACAAAAAACGTTTTAAACATTTTTAAACCAAATTGCTGATCCTGAATATAGGTGGATGAATCTATCGAGAGATGATCGCAGTCAATATGATTGTATTGTGACGTCACATATCTTACAGAAAAACGCCATCTGTGTAAAACAGGCTTACTACAATGTAAAAGTATAGCGAGGGGAAGGAGATGAAGAAGAAGGATAAACAGATATACGTTTGATTTACATCGTTTTACGTAGATGGTGTTATAAGTATCTGTCCAAATTGCGCTTGCCCTTTGGAATCTATTTAAACAACAAAAGATCATTAAACGATAACAATCAAGAGAAATTGTTTTCCATATTGCATTTCACGTCATAAAAAACTAGATAGTTTCAATAATGACAAAAAATTAAATTATTCTATGTTATTATTTGTTTTACCTGAACACATTAAGTGCAATTTCGCCGAAAATACTAATTAGTTTTCGGAAAAATCTCCGATCAGAACTAATTACGTGAACGATGCACATTTTCAATTTCAAATGATCGTCCATAAAACATCATCTCTGTATTTAAAAAAAACACGTAAGAGCAAATGTCAAAAAAGGGAGAACATAATAAAAATCGACATTACAATCGTACGACTTTTCGTGATTTTCTTCAATTTTTCAGGATTTTTCGATAGTTTCACACCATCGAATCCGCTTAAAAAATGTCAACTTTCGAAAAGTTCAGACACAGTGGCCGTCAGTAAGTGACCTACCAAAACACTAAGAATTTCAACATAAAAAGTTTCAAAGCTCTTGCCAAAGAGCTAGGTGGTGTCGACACAAGTGGAATTATTTTTAAAATTAAAAAAGCATTAGTAAAAAACACTGTCGTCATATCTTGTATGGTAGCACTTTAATATCGAAATTGTAACATTAAACATATTTGTTATTGTTGCTATCGTTTCTTTGCTGCTTCCACAACGAATCATAGCTATTACTGAATTAGTCCACAGAAACTAAAATGTGAAAACAACACAATACTCAAAAGATGTATACGTTTATGTTCAAATCGAACGAAATTGCACCGTTTAAATTTTCGATGCAGAATGAATTGCAACACCATCTAGCGAAAAGCATATTACGATGCGGTTGAAGAAAGTTTGAACGTTACTACGAAGAATATAAAAGCATCTTCATAACGACATAACTTGATTTATTATCAAAAGTATTAAAAGCGCTAGTTAAACTTAACCCAATAGTCAAATAATTTAGTCTAACAAAGTAAACGCCTATGGTTAACTTACAAAAAATGCAGACAATATCATTATATTAACTAACTAATCAGCTGAGCTGACGGTACGTTAGCCATCTGAATGGACCAAAACAATAGAAGTTATTAGTCATTATAACATTAACTTCTATTGTTTTAGCTGATTTAGTTGGCTAACAAACTGTCAGCTCAGCTAGTTAATTCATTATATTCTCCGAAAAAATGTTTTTTTTTGTCACTTCTCAATGGAAAACATACTAAACTTACTCAACTGTGGATCAAATCGAAGTCTTCGAAACCATGGTTAGATCCCCATTTTTACTTTGGTACTTTGGTCATTGGGCGTTGATAGTTGTAATTTAGACAGCAGTGGATCACTCCAATATATTCCAGCGCTAGAAATTCCCATACCATAATTGTTGGCATTTTTGGAGAGGTTTGCGATCATTTCAAAGAAGAATGGCTTTTTACGCTTACCCATACCAATTACAATTTCGATGCAAACTGGATCGCAACGTCATCTAGCGAAGAATATATGACATGGTTGAAGAAAGTTTTATCATAGCAACTACTACGGAGAATTAAAAAAAAGTTGTTCTATTATCGAAAGTTGAAAAATTGATCGATTAAACTTGCACTCTAAAAAGCACAATTTTTAAATTTTATTCAAAATTAATTTTTAAAATGATTCCACGTTAAGTTATGAGTATTATTATTAGTCATAATACCTATTATTAATGATGAAAGTTATTTTATATTTTTCCATAAAAGTTTGTTAAAAAAGTTAATTTTTGATAGATATTTCATTCTTATTTCACATCCAATCATATGGAGATTGACTCTTGAAAATGAATAAAACCAATCAGCACCTAGATGTAACTTTTTCTGGGAAGAAATTCCACCAATATGAGATGCCACGGTGTCATCCATAATTCGATGATTAAGTAATCGTTATATAGACATTTTTTTAAATGAATCTTGTTTCAAGTGGTGTGTACTTCATTTCGGCATTCAACTTAGCTTATTAATATTGATTTCAATCAAGCAACGATATTTCTTTTTTCCCACAATTTTTTTTATCTCAAATTGTCATTCTTTCCCTCTTGCTGATAGCTTTGTTTATCTTTTCTTCTTTACTCACATCATTTTTCTAAATATTTTGAATATAAATCCAAATATTTATCAAATCAAATTCAAATGTTTGCTCATTTCAAATTATTTATTTTTAATTTTTATCTAAATCAATTTAAATAAATAATAAAGTCATTCAAAATTCACATAAATCTATTTTTTAAATGGAGATTCACAGATTATATGCACAATAAATCGAAATGAAAAAGCAAATGAGTTGCACAATTTTTCAATAAAAGTCGAATTAGATTTGTCAAGAACGGGCGCAAGCAAATTAGAAAAAGAAGAAGAACAAATTTATATAATCAACATTGGATAAAACTTCTATAAAGAAGGAGTTGTCACGTTTGATATGTGATAAAAAAGAAATGATCAATCTCAATATTCTCATAATATGTGTGACCGTTAGATTCTTATGAATAGCAGAATATGAGAATTGCAATTTTGCAAATGGAATCCAGTAGTTTTTCTGCATATCAATCAATGTTTGATACAGTGTCATTATTTCAACTGTTGCGAGTATCAAAGGATACAAGTTTTGTAATCATAACTAATAAATGAATAATCGCAAACCAGTTTTGAAGATTTATCATTTGATGTAGCGAAACTTTCGTTTTAAATGTCTTTTTTAACGGTTATCTAATAGATTTGCACATTCCATTCAAGTGACATTTTTTTTTAGTTAAATTTTTTTTTTGTTTGTTCGTTGACACAAAACAGTCACGATTGGTAAATGGTAATATCGCTTTTATCAATCTAAAATCCAAAACTAAAAACTTGCTGTATTGAATTGTAACAACAACTATGAAATCGAGTAAAAGTTTGTTTAGCTGGAATGACCATTGATGCAACATTGGTGGATACGCTAATTTGCCGATTGATTTATTGCAACACATTAAAAATCCTTAAGCTGTCAAATTCTAATGAAAAGTAGATCATTATGCTCATGTTAGGTGGTAGAATTATATTCGTTTGATTAATTTTCGTTCACCGTCATTAGAGCGCATCGATGCCGCTGCCATTACTGCCACATCGTCGTGTGTTCAGTATATTTTGTTGCAACCGAAACAACAACCAAATGTGAGATAGAGAATAAAAAAATCGTATATGATGTGACGGAAAAACATTGGTTGCGGAGGTAATGGAAGAGAGAAAAATGATTTTTGTTATGAAAATGAAAAACCATGTACATCTTTTTGTTTCTCGTTATTATCTCTCTTGCTCGTTTCGTATGTTATATTGTGCTGAGATGCGGCGATCGGCAAGAGCGATCTATGGTAGCGATGAATCTATCTCGTCACATAGATAGTTCAGATAGTTCGGTTTGAATTGAGTGAGAGCATGTGCAAGCGTGCTCCAATGCTTTATCGTGTTGGTTGCTTCTTTCTCTCTCATATTCGAATCATTTTTATCTTTTTCTCTCTGTTTCGTTTCCATTCATATTGGAGGCCATGCACAGTGAAAAGAATCTCACACAAACTACCTGCCGAATCACATGCGAACAACATTAATATGGAATTGTGCAAAAAAGAGAGAGAGAGAGAGAGAAAAAAAAACTAACAACACACGAGCCCAACAACAATAACGACGGAAAGCGAAAATCCAAAAACTTCACTCTGTGCGAAACACACATCAAACGGGCGACATGAAGAAGAACTATGCGTGTTTGTTAAGACAGAGCAGTGCTGTTCGGAGTACGACGCGCGAGCGCGCGAACCAGTGTATATCTTCCACAACCATTTATGTTGGATTTTATTTCTCTATGATTGCATTCGCTGTTCGACCAGCAAGCGGCCTTGTTGTTGCTCTCATTTTCCCCAGTGTTACACATATTATTATTGTTTTGTATTTTAATTTCGTTCCACACACACACACACACACTCGCACACGCACACCCGCCAATTCTATCATAGCATTTACGAGGTGGTTTGAATCACAGTGAACAATTGCTAGGCGCACATTCAACAGTCGGCATTCGGCTCGACGTGAGCAAATTTACGATATTCATGATAAGAACAAACAGATGTTCTTCGTAGCACGAATCGCTATCGAAAAGGAAGCAAAGAAAAGCACATTCAATTGAATTTTAACGATTTATTCGTTTGAGCAGCGATTAAGCTTTTTTTTCACATTGAAACTGGCATACAATATTTTTGCGTGATGATTTTTGGTTCGAAATTATTCTTGATGTGATTGATGTTTTGAGGTGCGAGAAGTGATAAAGTTGCTTATTTGTTTGGCACGATTTTTTTTTGCACATTAAAAATTGTATTTTTCAATAAAAGTCAAAACGAAAAGAAATCGTCAATTCATTTGACAGAATTCGATCGAATCATCGTGTGGCAGTGAAAACAATAAGAAAAGAGAGAAAAAAATAAAACGTGTGCGCACACAAAACGTATGTACGAACTGCAGAAAAATAAAATAAAGATGTTCGTGTGAATGGGGGAGAATGAAATGTGTGATGTCTGGTGTAATTTTTATTTTCTGTGTACTTTTTTTTGACGTTTGCACAAAACATTGTTAGTAGCATAAAAATAAAAAGACACACAATTTTTTTTTATAAATGTGTGTCTCATATTCCAAACAAATGAACAATTTTTGGGAGCCGAGAGTGTAAGATTCGTCTATTTTCGTTTGTGTTCTATGTGTACGGTGAAAATATCATTCCCTTTTGTTGCGAATAGCAGATTGTAGCTCGTCTGATGAATATCACCATTCTGGAGATCATGTTATGCGACATCGTGTCATACTCAAGCAAATATCCCAAATATAAGACAATGTTATCCAAATGAAACTTCAACAAACCACCACGATTACGATCACCGTACAGAAAAGAAAAGCAAAGTAATTGTAACGAGAGAAAAAAAAGATAGAAGAGAAAAACAATATATGAAATGAAACATCAAAATGAAAAAGGGCTTGAAGGCGAACGAAATAAAAAAATATGCAACACTTTGTAACTAATAAGCTCATCAGACAATCGAAAAAAAACAACAACAACAAAGACATTTGCATATTGTTACGTGTTTCACACTAGATGCTTTCTACTCGGCAATTTTTCGTCGCTGTCGTCGTCGTCGCTGTATATCCCATTCAATAAGCAATACATCAGGTGAGAATATATAAAGACAGTAGCAAAACAAACAACGAAATAAAATAAAATTCCAATCTAGCAATTATATGACGTGAATGATGCAAAAATGAATATAATAAGTAATGAGACGAATAACAACAAACAAAACCACAGTAATGAAGAAGAAAAACCATGCAAACCAAAGTGAATATATATATCAATGAAAGTGTGCAATGAGAAAACTGTGACAAAATTCAAGACATAAACGAAAATAGTAAAGAAACGAGAAAAAAGATGATCAATAGAATAGAAAACGAGTGAAAAGGTCGTCGATGTGAGTGAAAACTGTTTCTATTTTCAATGTTCGTAGCATACCTCTGATAAGACAATTTAGTTGAAAAAAACCATCAGTAGGGCAACTGCATCAATCTGTGTTTACTTGCGGGTGTCCATTTTTTTGCATAATTCGTCGAATGCGAATATATTAACATTTTTAGTAAAGAAAAAATCCAACAGTCAAACGAAATAGAGAGAATTAAAGTGTACATCACACAGGTGAATGGAAGACAATAAATGCCATCGATTGGTGCAAAAGAGAAAAAAGGCACAAACAATATAGAAAAGTGCATCATCGAAGTATAAAATCATATTGCGAAAAAAAACAACACGTCTGCGAAACATTTTAAAAATCCATAGAACATAATGAAGGCATTTTGCTTTACGATTGGCTAAACATTGCATAATAATAACTTTTACACTTCACGGAAATCACTCATAACACGATATGATTGAGATAGAACAATTTATTTATGAATAAAATTGAATTCAGAACGAACAAGCACAAAAAAACTAATTAATCTAAACTTCAATAAATAAATTAAATGTGGTTGTCTTAAAATTCATTCCGACAACATTTTTAAAGAAACTCCCTAAGAAATATAAATATAAATGAAATAGAAACTGAGCATACTTAATCATTGTCGGTGTAGAGAAATAAATTCCGATTTAAGAGTTCAACTAAACAAAAATAAAGACCGAATCAAAACGAAGAAGAAGGGTTAGCTGTGATTTCAGTGGAAATCCGCCGAGAAGAAATAGTTTCCATTTTACCAAGAATACGATCAGCAATAGCCAGAGCATTTGCAAGCAGGTAAGACTTTACTTTCTCAATTTTCTCAAATCGAACTTTTGAACAAACATTGGTTGGAAACGGTTTCGCCAATAATAAATGGAAAAATTCAACAAAATTGTTTTTGGTTTTTCACTTTACGTTTGCTGCAAACAGCATCTGCTTCATATTTACGCATCAGCTCAGAGCATTTTATTTTGGCTCAGTGTTTGGCTTCCGACTCGATTAGTTGCGATTAGTAAATGGCATTGGAATTTTATTGCTCCGGAGAAATATGTATGATTTGTTAAGTGCATTTTCTCGATTTTGTTTTAAAAAAAATACAAGAGAGCAAGTAAACCATTTTCCATATTAAAACTAGAAATAGAAATCAATTTTTCTCCTTGATTTTTCGGCGATGAAACAAACATTTAAATCGAAAATTTCAAAATAGTATTCACATGCCGAAAAATGAAGAAGCAAAATTTTGTGATTGCAAATTTGTATATACGATGAAAGAGTCATGCGAAACAAGTAATTTCGAATTAGTAAAAATCAGTGTTTCATATATAGCTATCAGTATCCGTAAGATAACTGAGAGGGATATATTCAGCCAGATATGAAACTGTCTAAATTAGACATTGGAGATGGTAAGCGTGTCTAATGCAATTTTGACACAATTTTGACACTCATATCTGGCTGAATATATCACTCTCAGTTATCTTACGGATACTGATAGCGATATATGAAACACTGGTAAAAATCGATGGAGAAGATGATATATACGGTGAATTAATTGACCGATTAACGAGAAAAATATTTAAAAATTAACTTTAAAATAAAGAATATGAGAGATGTGTAATTGTTATCATGTTTCATGGATGATTATAATCTGTGCTGCAGTCGGTTTTTTTTCGCAGAGGATACTTCAATTCGTCGTTGATTTATTGGTCCTATTGAAAAGCGCTGCATGGCTAAAAAAGATCTATCCAGCTAGCATAAGTTCAATTATATGGTCTTTTGAATTGCTTTTGGTGCGTTGTTCTGCGCAACGTAACTTGAATTGTGTGAGGTTATTTTTATACAGTTTCATCGTTTTAGTGTACAGGTGTTTCGAAGGCCAAGCCTAATAAATTATTCATGGAAAATAAACGGCAATCATTATTATCCTTGTTTTCTTCGCTGTGATTTTTCATTCCTCCGATCCGATCACCCGAAATCCCAGGCAGGAATCAGTTTTTTTTTATAAAAGCAAACTTTTTTGAAGAAAAGTGCTGATTACTCGAGTCGAGTAATTCACTCAGTCCTGAGAAAACCTTAAAAGGAAAGAATTTTTGAGAGTTCTTTTTTTTTAATTCATGTAATTATGTAAATGTGGTCGTAAAGTGACATTTGGATTATTGCCCATAATTTGCGAGTTAATTCGATGAATTGGTTCTGTTTGAAAATCAAAAGATTTTGATTTGTCAAAATAAACCGACAGATTCGTTTGATATCGGTTAAAAATAATGAGTCTTGGCGAATTAGCGTATGTGCAGCTATTGAAATGATGGAGCCATAACGAAAAACATCGAACGGTAAAATCATACAATAAAAACAATTAGGTCTCTCTTTTATTAAAGCTAAATAAAAGCGAATAAAAATGAGCATCAAATCGATTTTGAGAGAGAAAGAGAAAGAAAGAAAGAGAGAGAGAAATGCTGAAGATGATTGGCAAAAGAAATTCAGAGCAAAAACAATGATGATGAGCCGAAAACAAACAGAAATCGAGAGAAAAAAACGCGATATATATTCAATGACCATAAAGTAAAGGTGATAATGCCTTTTTGCATAGGTTGATTAGTGGCCGCTTTGTGTTCGTTCTTCGGGTTTGTGGAACCGAACGATGACGAAAACAACGACACCGTGATATTGTGGCGGCTTTATTTGAATTTTGATAAAACCTGCCAATAATATTAATGAATTTAAGAGGCTGGCTACAGGCTCGACCGTATATTTTCACACAATTGACATATTTTAAATAATAATTACGAAGTGATATTTTTTGACTGGAATTGAATCGGTATCGTTGTTGGCAGTATTCAATTCGTTTTTTTTTATCTCGATCGAATTTGGTGAAACATTTATTTTTCTTCAATCAACTGAAAAAAAAAAAGAAAATATTTTAATCGAATTAGCGCATCAACCGGCCAGAAGAAGCGTCGAACTGTTGAAAGATACGAAAACACTATACCAATTATCACAATTAAAGTTTTATGATAAAATGTCATAAATTCAGTTTTTAATCGGGCTTATAATCTTCTGGTGGCTGAATCGAATATCAATAATTTCAATTCATACTTTGTATACTTTGTATGAATTGTAATTCGAATCTAAATAAATAAAAACGAACAAATACCTAACGGTGATTTCGTGAAATCGATCAACCAAATTTTTTTTTATTTATTTATTTTCTACGGGAAATTTAGTATTTTTTTAATGTCCAATTCGAGTGGTTTGTTTGAGAGAAAATACATCTTTTGATTTTCTTGCATTGTGATCAAGCTGGTCAGTTAACAATGAAATGCGCAACAAAGAAGACATATTACAAATTGACGCACAAAGCACGAACACCACACAGCTGCGACATCGAAGAAAGCAACTGAAATACATATCATAAACATCGAAATCAAATCAATTCGAATTCAATTGTCGAATAGATAAATACGCATCACATTTAAATGACAATGACAACAACTTGAATGACGAATATAATGCGAACCATTATTAATGGATCGGAATTTAACCGATGGACAATAAAGCACGGTGCGCGATTGAATGGTTTACACAAAGAATGGACTTTTGATACAATTTACCGTTTTAAAACATCGGCATGGTGTTTCTTTTTCTACGTTGTGTAAAAACCTGGTGGAAAAGATAGAAGTCACTTGACCAACAACAGTAATTCACCCAATCCGCATTCTTTGTATTGTGCTGAACAATGCGAAATTGAATGCGATTTGAGTGGAGTGTAACTAATGTTGAATTTCACATAATTTGACATTTTTCGTCGCGCGATAACTGTTTAGAAAGAGAATTGGACTAATTTTTGGATATTTTGTATCAATAAAGGCAATAAAACAGCTACCTTTTCTTCTACCTTCTAATAAAACGGTGAGTTGATGCGCGCAAATTCATGCCTACTATAACATCAAGTTGGTCGTGTTTCTTTTCCGTCCATTATTTGTACATTGTATTACGTGCTACAGATCGCGCGATCCAATGCGATAAGCAACATCAACAATTATCGATGTAAAGAGTGTTACCATTGGATGTTAGTGATTTCCAATCGATTGAATAATCCTTTCGGTCGATGTTGTTTTTCTTTTCTTTTGCAGAACATATTTTGATGGAAAAAAAAGAAGAAGAAGTTGATTTCGTTATTTTCGTATTAGATTTTTTGTGCGCGCTTATTGTGTATGGATCCCAGAGAGTCAATAATTTTAATGTAAATGGTGTGCTTAATCGAAATTTCTTGTCTCGATTCTATTTTTTTGTTCGGTTCATGCTTTTGCCCGGAATATTTTTGTGAAAAAACAAAAAGCACAGACACACAAAAGTCCAACCATCAACAACGGGATCGGTTGCTCTATAATCTATGAAAATCACGTTCACACCATTACCCAGCGCAAGAGAGACCGTGTTTGCTTTTGTTTCATCATCAATCGATGGGCTGAAAATCGTCTCATTGATACAATTTCGATGCAAATGCAATTTCAATATGTTTTTCGTGTGTGAGTGAGTGTGGTGTGAGCGGTTTTGTTTTTTATTATTTTCACATTTGATTCGAAAATGCGGTTCGCAAGTTAATTGGATCGAATTGCATCGCATCGATGCATGTAAGTGTCAGAATTATGGACACATTCTGCCTGATTAATTAGAAATTTAATGGAAAATATAATAAATATGGAAATTTCTAACTGCATTGAATTGCGCATTCAGAATGTGCACTGTGGGCTAGTGTTGCTGCCATATTGCTATTGCTGTTGCATTTTGAATCGTTGCACATTTTTTTTTCGTTTTTGCTGTGGTGCGACGACACTCGAATGCGTCGTTTATGTGTGATTTGGGTTCCGGTTTTGGCAAACAATGTATCAACATGAAAATTGTGTGTAGCATACACATAACATATATATAAATATTATTTGCGCGTCTCGCGATAGCAAGCCAGAGAGAGGAAATACTAGTTGCTTGTGGTTTTCGCGATAAATTCACCAACAAGATTCGATCGTACATTTCTTTTTCGAATTTTGTGCAAGTCGTAATTCGCTTTTTTACGCGCTTCATACCTGTAAAATTAGATAAATCGGCTACTTTGATGCAAAATTCTAATTCTTGTGTTGCAGTTTTTTTTTCTTTTTCTTCTTCTTCTTCTGTTTGTTTGTTTCTCAATTCACAAGTCGCAGGCAAAATAGAGTGAGATAGAACACACGCAGCCGAAGAGACTGGGTATATGCATATATGCGCGGAATGGCGCGAGCGCGAGCTCATAATGAATAAATTATTGCTGCAGCACCGATACACAATGAGATTTATAAATATTAATGGTAATATTTTATACTTTAGTTGCTGATAGCGTGTACAATGGATTTAAATCGCACGCTCTATTGAATTGAATAGGTGTATTCATTTTATGATTTGTTACGATTCGCAATCCGTTTGCGATGCACAATTGCCGCGTTAAATGCATATCCAATTGGATGGTTCGGCTGCTTCGTTGGTTTGGTGAGAGAATCAATAAACAAAGGGACCACATTTGCACTGCCAAATGTGCGCGAGCGGCAAAACACATTACCCTGTTTGAAGAGAAGAATGAAATAAATCGCATGAGTAACGATTGCGATTGACCATACTTCTTCTGGTTCTCTCATTCACCGGCCCATTCTCCATATGCTGTTGCTCCTTTTCCATTTTTTTAGTGTGTTGTATTGAGTAATAAAGTTTATTGATGCGCCGTTTTTTGAATAATGTTATAGTGATGCCAAAAAAACCTTCCCACCGAA